GGGGGGGGGGCAGCAGGGTCCACACGTCCGGGATACCCTAGGCAAGGGTTTGATGGAACCCCTACATCTGATGGTATCTCTTACGCCTCATCTGGGGACGGAGAGGGGACATGGAGCAGCGAGGGGCTGAGAGTTCAGGACCATTTCCCCATGCACCGTGCCAGAGACCCTTTGCGTTCTACCCGGTCCAGGACGTCCGCTCCCCTGGCACTGGGCCACCAGGCTACTGCAAACCTGGTGCCACTGGTGCCCAAAGACAACACTGAGGGGCGGGAGTCGAGAGCCCAACCATACCCAGGGCGCAGTCCCATCTTGCGAAGTGCCTCCCAGAGGACAGCTGTGAGGGGAGATGAGATACAAGAATTTCGCACACAAAGCTGAGACTCTGGGCGACCCCCCGGCTGCAGGTCCAGCCACTCACCCTCGCTGGCACGGTTGCCATTCATGAAAATGACTCCCAGAATCACCAAGAGGAGGCTCAGCCTGGGAGTGTCCTTGGTCCTAAAAGGTGGAGAAAGAGGCATCCTGTCTGGCAGGCATTTGCCCAAGGGACTAGGGCCGCTTCACCCAACTAGCCTTTCCCAGATGGCTGGGCTACAGAGCAGTTCTTCCCACTCTGCGCATGGCTTGCTCTCTGACCCAGAGCATTCATTCCTCTGTCTGAGGCTGAATCACTTCACGCATCCAACGTGGATGCTAAGAGCCCCTTCCAGAGTTGCGTCCACGACAGGGTCAGGCAGGGAGCAAACGCCTGGCTTCCAGTGTGTTCAGAGGAGGCATATCCAGACCTTTCCTGCCCTTTGAGCATCGGGAATTAGACTAGACGGAAAGCTTCCTTCGAAGCCCCAGGACCACTCTGCTAAGCCCAGGCCAGGCACATAGCAGGAAGGGGCAGGCAACGAGGAGCCTGCTTTCCTAAAAGATGGGGTGAGGAGGTGGCCGAGGTGGGGGTGAAGCCCTGAGAGCAGCCAAGGCTTGACCCCAGGCTACTTCCCCTTTCACACCCTAATCACCAGGCACCACTAACTGTGGCTGAGAGCTGTGCCAGGCACCGAAGCCCTGTTTTCCCGTTTCTCCAAGAGGAAGGGGGAAGCACCAGCGAGGAGGGCCACAACCCTCCTGCCCGCCCTATCTTACTTTCCCAGGAGACGAGCTGAGGAATCACGTGTGCACACGAGAATGTACAGGTGTTCTTCCTTGTCAATTTCCTTCAGGTGGATCCCAAACTTCTACATGGCAGAGAAACCAGAACAGGAGATGAGAAACCTATGCCGCCCGTCCCCCAGGCAGTCCCTCAGTTTCCTGTCAGAACTCTCCCTCAGCCAGGACCCCGAAGTCACGTGGAAGCCTGATGAAGACAGCCTACAGAGGAACTGCCCTGTTCGAGCTCTGGTGCTGGCCAAAGCAACAGGACCCACTTCAGGGGACAAGAGACATTCAAAAGAGCATGAAGGAGAGGAGCCTGCGGGGGAGGGAAGCATGCGGTGGACACTCCCAGGTGGAGAAGCTAGAGAGGGCTTCCAGAGCAGGCAGTGCTGGAAGTGGGCCTCAGGGGGCTGCAGGGTGCACGGCTTCCCTGTGCCACAGGGAGCTGCCCCTGTTCCCTCGCCCACCTTTTCCAGAGTGTATGTTGCTCGTTCAATGATCTCAGGGAAATGTTCGTCGTATTCTCGGATGACATCCTTCATCATGTCTACAGGAGGCGAGAGGTGGAGAGAGCACCAGGGATGAGCAGGGGCCAAAGAGCTGCAGCCCCTCGGCCAGCCTCACTGAGGGGAGTACAGTCAGACTCCCGGACCCCCGAACTGTGCAAATGGGAGCGATGAGCTGCGCACGCTAGGTGGGCACATGTGATGCGAAGCCTGCAGGGTAGGGATGGGGACGGGGGAAGGGCAGAGCTCAGGGCGGGGGCTCAGGTTGCCCACCTGAGCGCTTGATGGGGATCTTCTTGTAGTCCTTAATCATCAGATATTTCACCAGCTTATTTGCCTGGAGGAAGAGGAGCACAGGGGGAGATCAAGGCATGGCTGACCTCCAAGAAATGGCCCACAGGGGAGGAGAGGAAGAAGACGGGGGAAAGGCAGATTTCTTACCCTCTCTTGCAGAAGGGTCACGTTGCGGGGTGGCAAGCACAAGACGTGTCTTGAGGGTACCTGGGACCTCAAGACCATGGGGGGCCGAGGAACCATATGAGCCCGCACGGTCATCGGAGGGTGCGATGCTCTCCAGGTCGGTGGGACCGCAGGAGGCTCTCTCTCCTCCTCACTGCTCTCATATTCATCATCCAGGTGCTTGGACTGTAGCGTTAAAGAGAGGAGAGACCCAGGGCTACCAGACTCACCGTGCAAAAGTGCGCAGCACACGTCTTAACCAGAGGAGGTACTTGGAAATAAGAGTAGTACAAACAGCGCATGACGTGTGCTGAGTGCTTACTACGTGCCTGGCACGGAGCCGACCTCTTCTCCCGCCAGGCCTGAGGGTAGAGACTTCGTGGGGTCAAAGCATGCTAGCAAACCTGTGTTGGACCAACATGCACAAGCTAACAGAAGAGAAGAGAGGAGGGGAGGGGAGGAGAGGAGGACGGAGCAGAGAAAGGAGAGGAGCAAGGGGGTGGTGCAGCCAGCAGAGAGGTCTCACCTTCTTGGTCCTCTTGCCTCCCATCCTGACCCAGGGCTCAGCACTGTGCTGGGCAGGGGCAGCTGCACCCTCAGGCTCAGGGATGCTAGTGGCCATCTTGGTCTTGGCAGCAGCTGCTGTCACAGCATTCTGAGGCTCCACCCACCGGGTCTTGGCAAGAGCCTTTCCAGACTTGGTCGTCTTGGGCCGGGTGGCTGCCCCCTCCCTGGCAGGTGCTGCCTGGGGCACCCCGGAGGCGGCACTGGGGCCCTCTGTGGCAGCCTCTTGGGCCGGGGCGGGCCTCTTGGGGCGGGGGAAGGCCATGCCACTGACACCTGCCGGCTGGGTGAAATCAAACACATCATTCTGACCCAGGAAGGCTGTCTTGGGCCTGGTGGCATCCATCTCACTGGCACACGGAGCCTGAGAGAAAGCACAGGCAGTACTAGGGCCCTCAGTAGCAGCCTCCTGGGCCTGGGAGCCTGTCTGGGGCTGTGTGGACACTGCTGGAGCCCCTGGGGCAGCCATCTCACTGGCGACTAGCATCTGAGAGATGTGCGGAGCAGCAAGGGTGGTCTCAGGGGTGGCTCCCTGATCCTGGGCCGCATAGGTCATGGGCTGGGTGTCTTCTCCTGAAGCCTGGTCTGTGGCCACAGGGCGGTTGGTGACCACCTGATTGTAGGTGGCACGGGCAGCGGCAGCAGCGGCCCTGGCAGCACGGTTGGAGGCGGCCGCGCGGGCTACGTTGGCAGCATGGGCAGCAGCCTCATTGGCAAGTGTTTCTGGATCCAGCTGAAATGCCTCCATCAGAGTCCTAGCCAGCATAGGGTTTTCCAATTCCCAGGGCTCATTCTGCAAGGCCAGACAGAAGGGTAGGGGAAGGCAGACAGCTCTACATGCTCACATCATGCTTCCCTGTGCTGGCCAGCCTCCTCCTGGCGGCCAGCTCCCATCCCCCCCCCCCCACCTCTCCCACAGACTTCCCAAACCCCCTTTCTCTGAGCAAGAGAGGGAACGCTGGTGAAGCTGGGCAGTCCTTCCCCATTCAACCCTCCCATTCACCCACCCCCCTCCCCGCCCCGGTCCCCAGCACCTTCACAGGGGAGAAGGCCCAGGGCCAGCAGGTGGCCAACAAGGAGCCTCACCGATAAGATGCGAAGGCCTGGACCCAAGCTCCCAAAGGCTCGGAGGATACGGATGTCAAAGCTGGTGAGGGTGCCATAGCCTCCAAAAGCACCAAATTCTTCATAGTCATTTCCTTCAACCATCTCTTCCTCCCCGACATCATCGCTACCCTCATCCATGTCTTCAACGTTGTAGGTTTCTGATTCCATGCGGTAGCTTCCCTCAGCCATGCTAGGGGAGGGGGTCCCCAAGAAGAGAGCTCAGCCTGGGAGGGAGGGTGAGGCCTCTTCAAGGGGGAGGGGGCGGGATCCAGTGGGAGGTGGGATCTCTCAGGAGGAGGGAGGCAGCAATCATCAGGTTACTAGGCAGTTCAAGGCAGGGGGGGAGGGGGGAGAAGGGAGGGAGGGGGAATCTGTTGGGTTAGGTTCTGTCAGAGACGCAGCCCTAGGAGAGGGATAGCGATGGTCTCCCTGCACTTAAAGGGGAGTTCAGGAGGGGCACGCTCCCCATCCCAGCGGCTAGATTCGAATAGGGGGTGGACTGGTGGGCTTGGGTCTGAAGAGTCCCAAAGGGGGATGCATTGAGAGAGAGAGAAACAAAGGGCTTGGATTTCAAGACGAAAGGGGTGGGGGCAGATGACAGGAGAGGGCTGAGACTACGGGGACCCCGGAAAGCTATGGGAAACTGAATCCAGAGACCCTCTGGCTAGGTCCAGGCAGGGGCATTCAGCTGATGATTCAGGTCCGGGTTGGGCTCATACAGGAGCGCCAGGGGTGGGAAGGGTGGGGGTGGGGGCCTGGACTAGGTGAGGCATGAATTAGAGCGCTGGAGGTCTCAAACCCCAAGATCGCAACTCCAGGAAGGGGGCTACGGGGTCAGCTCTGTTGGAGTGATCTAGGAGTGGTTGGGGTGGAGGTAGGGCCTCTCTGCTCTAAGACAGATCAGCAGGGAGCACACGGGTCTGCTAAAGGGGTTCAGATCATGCGCTCCGGGGTAAGTGGGGCTCGGATCAGAAAGCCTGGGTCTCCCGGTGGAAGAGGTCGGTGCGGAGGCGGTGGAGGGCCGGGGTGGGGTGGGGGGGGCGGTGTCCTACCTAGACGGTAGGTCTAAGCGGGTTCAGGTTCTGAGTGCCTGGGCTTTGTTCAGATCCGGGTGTTGGGGGCGGGGAGGGCGCACCGTGCCGGGTTCCACTTGTCCTCTCCCGGTCCCGGTCTGGGGCTGATTCCTTACCTTCCCCGGGGCTCCAATGGCGTCCGTCCTCAGCACCAGGAACCCCGCAGCCGCGCCCTCGCCTACTGCTGCCAGCACAGCAGCTCCGACCACCCCGCCCCTTTTCTCCGCGCACCCCCCGCGGCTGGGCAGCCTGCGCATGCGCGGACCCCTACAGCCCGCCCGCTTTCCCAACAAAAGCCCTCTCCACCAGGTCCCCAGTGCGCATGCGACTCCGCGAGTGGGTGGGCGGGGTGGGGGGCGTTTTCTTCTTCCCGCCAGATACCCCTCACCCGTCGTCTGACCTCAGGCTCGCGCACTCACCCCTCTGGGTGCAGTTCGACCACCCAGTCATCTACCCCCTCGGTGCCCGCACTTCTGCACAATGCTTCTCGTCCTTGCCCTCCCCGTTCCCGCTAAGCTCCTCCGGTGTGGTCTGGAATACACTATGCCTGGCTTCTCCAGCATGACCCCTAGGTCACAAACACAAAGGTCTCTAGCTGTGTCTCTAACTGTAACAAGGGGAGTGGAAATGGCCAGAGGATGCCAGTTGCCTTTGTGTTCCCCAGCACTGCGCATCTCTATGCCGCCCTCCTTCCCCCCCCCCCGCCCCCCAGATACACTGGGAACATCTGCTTCCCCAGCAACTCTGCATGCAGCTTGTGTGTGCATCACAAGCTGTCTGTGCTGGGGCTTGTCTTCATCTCACAGCAGCCCTGGGAGGTGGCTGTCAGCATCCCCATTTTACAGATCAGAAAGCTGAAGCGCAGACACACTGCATGAACTAGACAAAGCCACAGAGCCAGTAAACAGAAAATGCAATCTGTGGGCCTGGGTCTTCCTGACTTCACACCCCATGTCCCAGTAGGGCTGGCTTGGGGACTGAACCACGCCCCCCTCTCCAGTTGGAGCACAGGTCCACCCCTCAGCTCTCCTGCCCTGCCGACACCTGTCCCAAACAAGCAAAGTTTGTGCTCTCTGAGACCCAAGCTCATGCTCTGTAGCCAGGACACAGGTAGAGACCCCCCAGTGTCCAGCCCTTGCCTACTCCACGCGTGGGTCCATCCAGGTGTGGGAATTGCTCCTTGGGGTCCACTTCCCCGCCCCGACCTCAGGCCTCTTCGCTGTGAGTGGCACAAACACGCTGCCCCTGAGGCCTTCCTGGTGCCCACTGGAGCAGCCAGGACAATCAGTCACTTGTGTGTCTGAGGCATGGCAAGCCCTGCTTCAGAGTAAATGTTTGCCTGGGGTTCCTTCCAGGGCAGGGGCCTGGGGCAGCTGTGGTCTTGTGAAAAGAAACTGGGCTGGTCTTCAGAATTCCAGGGATGGGGTGCCGGGCCAGTCTGTTGCTAGCTGTGTGAGTCTGCTCAGGTCCCTGGACATCTCTGAGCCCGGTTTCTCAATATGCAACATGAGGAGCACAGGAAGCACGTCCTGGGGTTCTACCCAACCCAGTGCACGCTGCTGTGCTTCCAGAATGACTGGAAAAACTGCTTTGGAGGCAGACAATGCTATGTTTCCAACTCAAATCGAACCTGTGCTTTTTATAAAAACCATAGCGGACTTTTAGATTCGTTTTTATGTCAGCCTCTCCGGGACTCCTGGGTGTAAATGGAAGCTATTGCTAGGACCACAGCTTTGACTCTCCGGTGGCCAATATCAATTCTGACGGGCTGGATGGCTTTCCTCAGCTGTTGCATAGCAACCTCCACTGTCAGCAGCCTGTGTCTCTTCAGCCTTTCCTGTATGACACGTTTCTGGGGGGGGGGGGGGTGACCAGACCCTAGAAATGAAAGCCTTGGCAAGCTGCTCAGTGCTAATAGAAAATACTGTGTTCCCATCTCAAACTGAACCTGTGCTTTGTACAAAAGCCATAGTGGACTCTCATATTCGTTTTGTTTGCTTGTTTTTGCTTTCTTTCTCCTTTTCGAAATTGAGATACAATTGGCATATGACCTTATGTTAGTTTCAGGTGTGCAACGTAGCGATTCAATATTTTTATGTTTTGTGAAATGATCACCACGATAAGTCTACTTAACGTCCATCCCCATACGTAGCTGCAACCTTTTTCTTATGATGTGAGCTTTTGTTACATTCGTTTTTATATTCAGCCTCTCTCTCTCTATGCTATATAACTATTTATACTAATATGCTAATAACTCCAAAATCTACAGCTCTAGTTTGAACTTCACCTTTGAGATCCAAATCCATATATTCATTCCCCTACGTGACATCTCGAGGGCTCCTCACAGTGAGTCTGTCTAGAACTGGTCACTTGGTATACCTACCCCTCCCAAACACTCACATTCCCCATCTCTCTTGTTTCTAAAACTCCCATCTTCACCATCTCAGTAAATCGCACCCTTATCCACACAACTACTCACTCCAGAAAATGGAAGCTAGCTACCACCACTCCCCTTTGCTCCTACACTGCACCCTGATGGGAAGACGCTGCAGCTCTCCAGAACTATCTCTCTGTGAGGCTCTCCCCTCCCTTACTTCCAGCAAATTCTAGTCACGTTGGCCTCTCAGAATTCACAACTCTGTCTCCTTCACTCAGGCTCTCCACTGGGCTCTGTTTGTGTTCCTGTGTTCGGTCTCCCTGTGCTGCAGCCTGTAAACTCTATCCAGGCAAGGAATTGGGGGAGTTGGGCAATCTGAGGGCTCACCCTGTTAGTTTCCTTTCTCTCAGGGATCGCTGTCTGCTGTTGCCTGCGGTGCCATGACATAAAAGCTTTAGAATATTTTTGGTTTGCAGCTATTTAGGTGAGAGAGTACACCGGGTTCCTGTTAAGCCATCGTGCCTCCATGATGTTTTTCTTAAATTTGCTTTTTTTCTTAAATTTGAACTTTTCCCACTGAGCCATAGGGTTTTAGGATACATTTCCTTGCTACACATGCATCTTATATCTACTGAAGCGACTATACACAGATATTGCATGGTGTGTATTCATGACATTTTTCTTTCCAATCTGCTCCCCCAGGGCTTTACCCTGCCTCCTAAGGAAGTGGAAAACTGGAAAAAATATACACGCTGGAAAAAATACTCAGCACCAAAGGTAAGAATTACAAGGAACTCCTCATCAGAAACAATGCAAGTTATAAGAAAGTGGCGTACCATCATTATAATAGTGAAATAATAACTGTCAACTCAGACTATTTATATTCAATGGATGTCGTTTTAAAATGAAGTTTAATTAAAAGTTCTTTTCATACATACCAGTGTTGAAATCGTTCATCATGATTGGATATGCACCACAAGAAATATTAAAGGATGTCTTTCAGGCACGAGAAAAATGACAGTAAATATAAATATATTCTACACAAATGAATAAACAATACTGGAAATGCTAAATGTGATGATAGTGATAAAGTAATTATTTTTTATTTTCTGTGACGTTCTTTATAAATTAATTGAGAGCATAAACAGACATTCATAGCAATGCATTGTGGAGTATAAGTTATGTGGAATTAATTTCCTGGACAGTAATAGCACAGGTCCTAGGCAGAATATAAGTGTACTATTAGGTTCTAATTCTACATGTGAAGTAGTACAATGTTAGTTGAAGGTAGACTGTGGTAAGTTACAAAAAAAAAAAAAGCATCAAATGTAAAACCTAT